AGCCTGACCCTGGCAGCAAGGAGCTTCTAGACTAGACTATACATACACACCTTGTAAGCTGCATCCACATCACACTAAAAACTGGCCAGTGTGATCAGAAGAGCAGCTAATTCAGGTGAAAAAAAACTGGTCTGGGAACTTTCTTTAAATGTTCTTAAGAAAGTGATGCTGGTAAGAGCTGTAGTTCAGTAAGAACTTTCTATTGACAGGCCATTATACCCAGAGCTCCTGAAATTAACTTTCCCATGTAATAACCCTTTACCAACTCTTTGGAGATAAGCACAATCCCCATTTTACAGATAGAAACTGAGGCTTAGATGGTTAAGAGACTTGTCCATAACCATCCAGCTAGCAGGATGTGAACTGAGGCTGGCTTGCCCTCAGCATTGGGTTAAGTAACTTCTCCTTTAGTTTTATTTTTATCCTCTAAAATATTGGGCCCCAAATTCCTAACAACTCGGTGGCTCCGTGAGACTGGCTGGTCTAGGTAGAAAACACAACCAACTTGGCAGCAGCAATGACACGGGGAAGGGATATGTGACTATAGCAGGCTGCTTGGTCTATAACTCTGTCATTTCATTGTGCATCTCCATCACAAGTTTCACTTAATGTGTGATGGTCAGTTCCCCATGAGGCCATGTGATCACCAGTATGTACACCCCCAACAGGCAATGGTTCCAGAAAAGTTCATGCCCATACAACATGGAATAAGAAGTGTTGTTTGTTTTGCGTTTTTATTTGTTTTGCAGTGGCAGGGATCAAACCCAGGGCCTTGGGCACATTACGAAAGTACTCTACTACTTAGCTACTACACCAGCAGCCCATGAAAAAGAAGGTTTGGAAGGAGGTCTGTCTTGCTAGGAAAAGGGTTGGACCATAGCTGTGGGGATCTGGTTCCAAGTTCATCGGAAAGCCCAATGTGAGGGAGAGAGGAGAGGATTCTCTAAGCAGAAACACATTAGTTGTACACACTGGGGAAATAAATGTGCTCTAGGCATCGATGAAGAAAAGGTCACTTGGTTTTGAGACAGTATCACATTGATATGAATTTACTGCCCCATAATATTTTCCTTATTTTTTATTTTCTTACCAAGATTGGAAAATTTAAGACTCTCTGTGAGTCACATCCACTCACCCGGGAGAGATGTACTCTTGAGCACCCCGCTGCCCTGCTAGGCCATTCCACTCCCACCCATGTGCTGCCCCACGTTCCTGTCCCAGTTTCCCGGTGAACTCCAAAGTGCACCATCCAGCAACCACATCCTGCAATATTCTTATCAAGCCATTTCCTCCCAAGCCCTAAGGGTTCTTGGCTGATGTTGCTAATTAGTATTTTTGGCATTCCAGTAAAATAACAGAACAGATATTTTTCTTCAAAGGAAAAAAACAACAAAACAAAAATGAAAGCACTAGGACACAGTGATTTTTCTAAGACAGTTGCAAAATTGGTAGCAGAAGCACAATATATGACCAGCTATCCGTGCCTCTAAAGTCAGAATGTTATGAACAATAAAACCCTCTTTCCAGACCCTGTGTGTGGGCAGGGACCATCACATCATTTCTCCACCCCTGCAGCTCCTAGCATGGGCCCTTGCACACAGTAGGCGCTCAGTAGATGCTGAGTGGGTGGATCAAGGAACCAAACCATGTTTTAAGAAACCAAGTACTAAAGACACCCTTGGTCCTAAGCTGCACTTCTTATCATTTTTCAGAGTCTCTTAATTCTTTTTCCAAACTCAGAGAGAGACTCTTGGACAGCTGCACTGCTGTTGTCTGTGGCCAAACACATGCAGTGGGAACAGGCGAGGTATCCAGCAGCATTGGTGATGCTTCAGCTCTTGCATAGGGTGGTGGATTTGCAAAGCTCAATTTATTGTTACGTTTCAAATATTGAGTGTAAATCAAAACTATTTCTGTATACTTTGACATCAAGTGTAATAAATTCAAAATTACAGACAACTGTTTTTCAGTTTTGGGGGAATGGCATTATCAAGAGATATTTAAGCCCTGCAAAGGATTATATATTTGAAAAGACAGAAATATAATATAACTCAAGACTTTGTCATAAAATGTGACTGTTTAGCATGTATAATATATGCATGTATGTACTATGTAATATAAAAATCAAATAAAAATGAAATATATTCATCATGAAAAGCTAGAGTTATGGAAATGAATAAAAGAGCTATAGATTGGGAGAAAATGTTCTCAATATCTGACAAAAGACCTGTAACAAGAATATGTAAAAAACTTCTTCAATTCAATAACTGAAAAACTAACTCACTTAAAAAGAGGCCAAACATCACATTACAAAAAGTAATAGAGAAATGGCCAACAAGCAAACAAAAACGTGTTCATCATTAGTCATGGAGAAATGCAAATTTACATCACAGTAAGAGTACTACAGTATTCATCCAATATAGTAGCTAAATTAAAAAGACTGACAACATCTAATATTACCAAAGATTCAAAGTAACTGGATGTTTCATGTTGCTTATAAAAGTATGAAATTGTGTAACCATTGTGGGAAAATTTCTGGAAGTATCTTAAAAAACTAAATACATCATTGTTTTTGAAATATTTTTAGGCAAGGGGAAAAAATCCACATTTGGAAAGGAAAAAATTATCTTGCACATAGAAAATACTAAGGAACATACAAACACACACAACTGTAAGAGCTAATAAATGAATTTAGTAAGGTTATAGGAATCCAGATGGCTAAAACAATCTTAAAAATAAGAATAAAGTTGGGGGACTCACCACAAAAACTTACTTTAAAGCTGCAGTAATCAAAAGAGTGTGTTACTGACATAAAGACATACATATAAATCAATGGAATAAAATGGAGAATCCAGAAATGAACCCTTATATTTATGATTGATTGCTTTTTAACAAAAGTGTCAAGGCAACTCAATGTGGAAAGAAGAGTATTTTCCACAAATGATCCTAGGACAACTAGCTATCCCATGCAAAAGAATGAAGTTGGATTCCCTACCTCACACCATACACAAAAATTAACTCAAAATGTACCATAATGCTAAATGTAAAGGCTGAAACTATAAAGCTCTTGGAAGAAAATAAATAAGTAAATCTTAGATTAGGCAATGGGTTCTTAGATATAACATCAAATTATATTAAATGAGGAAAAAAATTTAGAATGATTACAATGTGACATCTTTCAAATAAACCTTAAAACATGTGAATATTGTTAATGGACACATGCATACAAAGAGTAAATATCCAAATACATATCATACCGGTTACTTTGGAAAGGAAAGGAAGAAAGCAAAAGAAATAAAGGACTTAAATGATGTCTGCAACATTTTGTTTCTGAAAAACGTTCTCTAAAACAAATAGGGTATAATATTAACATATGGTAGAAGTGGATGTGAGTGCACACATGTACCTTTATGAATATTTGAAATATCTTACAATTTGGCAAATTACACTTTTTTCCATTTAGTTTATTGGTACATTTTAGGTATACAATACAGTTATGTTCCTCATTGGGATCTTGTACCTTTACATGACATATCTTGGTTCTTATTTTTTCCCCATTCTCCTGCCCTCCCTTCACCCCCTCCACCCTTCCCTATTTACAAAGACTTTGTTTCCATGTTTTTCCTTTTCTCATATTGGCAAATTACATTTTTAAAAGAGTAAGACCTCCTTATCATGAGGACTCATTACCAATGCAGCACAGGGCAAAATGAAAGTAAATGAGATTGATGTAAAATTACAGTAGTCCACTCAAGAAGTCTGGAAATTGCTTTGGAAATAAATCCCTAATACCAGCTCCTTTATATGTCACTGCTTTTATTCAAAACTGTAGAAAAAGTACGTGCCTTTGGGATGATTACTGGAATTTTCCACTTGTGTTCTACACAAATAGTTGTGGTTTATGTTTCTCTCTCTCTCTCTCTCTCTCTCTCTCTCTTCCTAAATTATTTGCTTTCATCAAGTTTTCCCAAGCTAAATCTCTTCCTTTTGCTTTTTTTCTTTCCCTAGATTTGCTCTTCCTTTCCAAGCATTTATAAAGCATTGTTTTCTTTTCTCATTTGCTCATAACTCAAACAGTGCACTTCCTTAGTTTGTTTTTCATGGTCATCTTCTATATATTGGCTGCTTTGTCTATATCTTGTAGGCATTTCATGTATCCCAAGCAGAAGATAGGCTTCTAGGTACGAGCAAAATAAAAGGATAAAGCTCACTTATTTAAGGCCAACAAGCATCTGCTTGTTAAATGCTGATGAGCATTTTAAAATTATTTCAACTGCTAGAAATGCCCTTATGCATGTTTCACTGATGGTGGTGCAGAAAGCTGGGTGGGCTACCAGCAAGACACAGTTGCTGTCATTGTTAGGATCAGCCCAGTCCTACAGGCAGCTGAGTCTTCTGTCCTGGGACTCTGCTTCCCTCTGGGTTACAGAGTCAGGAGGCTGCCTGGCTTAGGTCACATGGGACATGAAAGGTTCTCAGCTTCCAAAAAATAACAACTATCACCACTGAGCCCTTTTCACTGCCAGGCACTGTCCTAGGCTCTTGGTGCTGTTTTGTGTAGCTCACAGATCCCTATGAGAAAGCTGTTGTCATCTCCACTCTGCAAAAGGCACTGGCATGCAGGAGTGGAACCATCCATGCAAGCTAACCCAGCCAACAACAGGCACAGCTCAGCTTCACACCAACCCTGCACCACCACACCACTTCTTCCTTTCCTGGCAGCAGCATGATGTAGGACAGACTTAAGTTTATTGGTGCAAGACCTGTTCTTTCCCACAATCCACCATGCAATTTACTCACTATACATGTACTCCAAATGGGGCAGTATTTAAGTCTTAAAAAAAAAAAACCTAAGTCCTCAAATACAATATTTACAAATACATGTACATATGTACTATGTATGGAAGGGCATGGATGGCCATCTGCCATATAGTTATATTAGAGCATTGTCTCAAATAGTGCTCCTGTAACACGTGCCCCTACTGTGGAATGAGACGTACCTGAATAGGGTCCTGCGTCAGTCTCATGGGCCCGATGCGCACCTCTGCAGAAGACACCTGCTAAATAGAAGACAGCACATGAGAAGTGTCAAGTCATAAACCACACAAGTTGGCAAATCCTTCCTTACACAACTCATTATGCTATACCACTTTTAAACTCTAAATGGATGATTCAATTTATTGACCCGGAGACAAATTACAAAATACCACGGACAGTACAATCCTTGCTTTATATATACATATATTCATACACACACACACACACACACACACACACACACACATATGCATTGGAAATATCTGGAAGGATATATCTCCAACAGCTAAGTGGTAAAACCTGGGTTACTTTTATTTGAGAGCCTGGATTTTTATAATAAGCATATACTGTTTTATGGGAGAAAACAATGAAATTCAATAATTATTTATTGAGCACCTACTGTGCACTAGGCACTATTACCATTAGAGCTATTAATCTAAAATCTCAGAAGGGAGTAAAAATTTGTATCCCTCAATCTTGGATGCTAAAGCACATAATGGCTTAAGGGTTGTTCCTATATTTAGATCTTCTTTTTCTTTCTTTCTTTTTCTTTTTTTTTGGTACTGGCGATTGAACTCATCACCTTGTGCTTACAAGACAGGCACGGTGCCACTGAGCTAAATCCCTGGCCCAAATCTTATTTTTTGTTATCTTCATATTTTAGTGTAAAGCATAAACAGCTCACTCTCACCTACATTTACCATGAAAGCCTATTCGTGTCCAATACATTTCCTGAACCAAAGGCAGCAACAACACACCATAAACACAAAAGGCTGAACTCTGCCCCACAGCTCCAGGAGCCAGCCTGGGGCTCCTACGTGGTCACTGGCCCACATCACCTAACTGCCTTTGGCTGCAGGCAGAGCAAATACTTGTCTTCATTTTTAATTACTTTATCTGAATTTCTAATAGTGACTTTCTCTAAACTCATCTGCGGAAGGTCTTGGCCTCACCTGCATGGATCCGGTTTTGTTTTTCCCAAGAGGCTGCAGTTGTGCACCACTACTTGAACACTTATCCTGCACACATGCACTGCAGTGGCCCCATTCAGCCCGCAGCGGCACGGTCAACAAGCATCAGAATTACCCGGGGCAGAACAGGCCTTAGCCATTAAAACAGAAACAAAACAGAAAAAGCAGAGCTTTCTATCAATTACATTTTGGAAGACTATTTCTCCTCCTTCCCCCTACTTAACTCCAGGTGCTCATGTTGAGAATCCTTGCACATTCTCCCACCATCCCTTTCCTCTGCCAGTTGACTCTTCCACCCAGTGACCCCGACACTGTGGCAAGAAGAACCAAGGTTGAGGCCTGGGCCCCTCACCAGACAGGTCAACAGCAAACTCCAAGAGCTCTGCCTATAGTCTTCCCCTGCATGCTGGGGAAGGCGGCCTCCCTGACCATGGGTCTGTCCTGTTGTCTGGCCCATGGAGCCTGAGACTGCGAGTGAGTGACACCATCCTTCAGTTCCTTTCCCTGAGCCTGCAAGGTGAGCACGTTGACAACAGCAGCCTTGTGTACCGGCCCTGGGACAATGGTACCAAGAGCACCAAGCACATCCGCCCACCCAGCTGTACTTCCAAGGCTGATCTGGTGTTCACAACCTTGCTAAAGAAACTTCTGATGATTAAAGAGTGAAGCCAGTTTGGTTCAGGTGAGAGTAACTGGCAGTTGGGGCTGTCTGTCACTGTCCCTGGCATCCGTCCTCTGCATTCAGGAGACTCTCCAACAAGGCCACCTGCTCATGGCTCCTATAGGAACACTAGCTTTCTAAAGGACTCATCCAGGGGAAGAAAATAAATGGATGAAACACTAAATCAATAGAAATGTAAAAGGAATAAAATGAAAACTGACTTGCTCTGGAGGCTAAGAGACTAGGGGAGGTCTCCTATAAGACAGGCACATACTGTCCCAAAACTAAGGAGAAATCACCCACCTGGTGTGCTGCCTGTATCATTTAGTAAGGACAGAGTGAGGTTAGACCCCACCAGGGCAGTTATCTAAAGCCTGTGGCTCTCCCCAACCCCTGCTGTCCCATGCATGGTGGGACATAGGCAAAGGCCACTGAGGCTCAGTATGGTGTTTTAAAAGCCACATTCAAGCTAGGAGATGCCATTTTTCTGCTTAAAGAAGACTCTACAGTGTTCTCCACAGCTACCAGTTCCCCACTCATGCCCTACACCTCTGCCTGCTCCAACCCAGCAGGCAGCTGATCTGTGACTTCTCCCAGCCCCTGTCCCTTTAGTCTCCACCCGTCCATTACCTGTCCCCTCCCAGCCCTACTTCTTTATCCTTCTTCCAGTGCCATTCATTGTGCCTCTACCTCCAGCTTGGGTGCTTCAGTTTACCAGCTCCTCTAGTCCTGACCCATAATTTGCTTTGTATTTCTTGGCTTGTTTTCTCCTTCTTGGTCTATGCTCCAGGTCATCTGCCTTTGGCTTCTGTATCTGAAAGAGGTCGAAAGTCCCAACAGATCCCTGGCCGCTGTCGTGTCCTTGATGGCTCTGAGGGCTGTTTCAAAAGAAGTCTACAGCAGGTAGATTCACAGACAGCAGTTCGCATGACTCTGTTTTTGACAGAGGTGCCTCACTGCCTGGACTTGGCCAGTTTGTCACACAGCAGTTCCCCACAATACCAGTGTGACCAAGCCAAGACTCTACTTCAAAGAGTGGACTTTGAACAAGTGCAGGCACACAGATCCACAATTAGCACCCTGGCTCTGCCTCCAGGAAGTGATTGTGTTTGCCAGGAACAGAGAAACAACCTCAGGGTAGGGTCACAGGCAACAGAATTTCATCATGGGGGAGGAGAGAGGATGGGACCTGAGCATGGAGCCATGTGCCTCCCAGCCACTCTTGACTACACATGGGCTTCCCCAAAAGCCTAAGAGGAAGGACTGCCAAAAGACAGTGCTGTTTTAACCATAAAAGACACCCACACACATATGCACATAAACAGGATCACCAGTTAGTTCCCCTTCAGATGAGCTGGCTCTCTGGGGGAAAAAAAGAGTCCTATTTTGTAGCACTTGCTCATTTCCCCAGTGTAAGTACTTTCATTGTGGCTGATCTCTAGATAGCAACACAGCTTAACTATGTTGAAATTAAAAAGATATATTCTCAACTGCGCAGTTGGGAATATGTCTTTTCACTCAGAGGATATCTATGAGAGGCAAACTCCCTCATTACTGATCTCCAAATGTCTCTCACCCATTTTTATTGGATAGTTTAGCTGGATATAGAATTCTGAAAGCCATTTGCCCTCAGCCTCTGAACTTGAGAGGAGATAATTCTGCCTTGGGAAGTGGGGAGAGCAAGGAAGCCTTCATTAGGGGAAGCAGGAAGTAAAGAATAGAAAGACGCAGAGACTGGGCTGGGAGAGGAGGTTATGGGCATATGGAAAGCGAAAGTGAAGAAAAGAAAGTGTCTGCAGAAGCTGCATTACAGTGCAGGAGAGGGAAGACTAGGGAGTCTGGGGTGCTGGGGAGGGTGCTGGAGAGGAGCTCCCCTTTCATTGTGTAAGCACCGGTCATCACACTGTGGGGTTCTGAGCAAAGGATTAACACGATCAGATCTGTGACTTGAGAAAATCAAATGTTTGGTTTTACTGCTTTCAAAATAAACACGAACAGAGATTTAGCAAAAGCAAAGCAAATATAAAAACTCTTATGAGTAGGAACTGTAACAGTCAAAAGCAAGTGGGGAAATATATTGCTATGATCAAGAAAAAAAAATCACAGGAACAAAGAGCCCAGTTTGGCTTCACTTCAACAGAGAGGGAACACCAAGAGGTGGCCCAGCAGGGGAGGAGAGAGACAAAAGAAGAGAGGAAGCAAGGTAGTGCAGGCTGGTCAATGCACCTGTCATGGTGCCACATTCTCTAGAGGTGATGGCCATAGCTCTTGGAAGTTTTAGCTTTGGGAATCTTATTAAGACTGTGAGTTTCCTGAGGAAATTGATTCTTACTTCTTTTTTCTTTTTCAGTACAGGGGCTGATTGAACCCAGAGTCTTTGCATTGAGCCTCAGACTTAGTCTTTTGAAAATTTTTTTAAAATACAGTCTCTTTAAGCCACTACATTGCCGCAGACTGAGCTTGAACTTGTGATCCTCCTGCCTCAGCCTCCCAGAGCATGCCCAGCTCAACTCTGTCTTTTTCACAGTTTTATCCCCAGTCTCTAGAAGGTACTCAGAAAATGCTTTGTTGAATTGGATTAAGCTGCGTAAAATGACACAGATTTTCAGTAACAGAGTCAAGATTGAGACGTCATACTCCCTAACTCACAAGGCCCTGCTCTTTCATCATGCTCCAAAATTTGAAGCAATACAGTGGTATCTTGGTTCATGAACTCAATTCTTTCCATGATTCTGGTCACAAACCCAACTGGATGAGAACTGAATCAAATTTCCCCATAAGATTAACATTGAACCTAACCACTGAATTTGATTCGATTCTTGTCCAATTCCATTTGCGACTAGAATCATGGAAAGAATTAAGCTCATGAACCGAAGCACCACTGTAATTCTAACAGCACCACCCACCTTTCTGTTAAGGCTTTCTGGACTTCATTCTGATTCTGCAAAACAGATGCTCCAGGACCTGGTGACCCCTGCTCAGGCTTTGCAGTCTGTCCATAGGGGTGCCAGCAGCACTGAGAACAAAGAGTACACATGTAGGAGGCATGCACATGCATGTGTGTATGCATGTGCATGTGTATGCACATGTACATGTGTGGATGTGTGTGCATGTGTGCATGTCTCAGGTGGGGGTGAGGTTTCCATAACTTCTACTTTCTAAAAACCAGCTCAGAATCTGAATCTCCCCCAATTTAGCAACTTCTCCTTTGGAAATCTCTTCTTCCCACCATCTGCAGTACTGAGTGTTCACACAGGCACACATAGGTACACGTGCACACACACACATGCACACACACACGGCTTAGGACAAGCCTGTCCACCTCGTGAGACGGTCCATGGTGAAGATCATTTTTCACTCTGAAAAGGGATCGGCTTGGGCATGGGAACAG